ATCATGGTTGATCTGTTGAAGAAAGCTTTACAGTTTAATTGATCCCTCATCAGTACACTTAACAGACCAATAACAGAATTCATTCAGACTTCTTAAAAAGTCACACTGGCTGTTCTGTCTATTAAAAATAAATAAATATGTAATTCACTGATTATCTTGTATACTGCCCATCACCACTGAACCCATAAGCTTCATAAGACTGGGGGTGGAATTGTTGACGTTAATTGGTGTCAGATAACCAGCGACCACATTTGCAGTTCTGCAATCTGCCTGCTGCATGAACTTCCTCTTCTTTTATTATTCCGTTTTCATGTCACAGAATATCAAAGACAATCTGGAGCGTCTGAGCGAGCAGGTCACAGGGATCCACGAGCGCCAGCCTGACGCCATCCGGGACGCTTCGCCTGCTGAGGTGGCGCAAATGGCAGACGCCCTGACACAGCTCAATGCCGAGTGGGACCGCCTCAACCGCATGTACAACCAGAGGAAAGGGTGCGTGCACCAGCTTCCTATAATATAACAGATAAAGGTGTATTTATATTCATTATCTAGATTTAAGGTTTTAAATCAAACCTTTAAACGCAACAAAGGAGAACAGTGAACAAGCTGCTATTTTTACTTGTGGTGTATTTGTGTGAGTAAGAATATGCATGTCAGGATGTTTAGTAGCTGCAGGGACAATATATGCCAGCTGTCCACTAGTCAAGAGAAGACAGCAGGACCAGATAAAGAGAGACCAGCACACATGGTAAAGAACACACGCTGACCTTAGTTAATGTCAAAAACAATTCCTTGGGCATAAACGGTCTCATGCCAATTCACGCAGTCTTACAGTCATTCACTCATTCACACACATGCACAGTGCATGACCCTCAGTGCCATCAGCACAGTTCATTGGGCATAAACAGTCTTCACATTTGCTGAGTGCAGTGTGTGCAAAGACACTGTAGTAAACTAGTAAGCTAATTTTGAGATTGCACACAAACTCTGCAGCACTGCATCTGTAATCACAATAACCTCTGGGCATCATTAAGTATCAAAAGAATAGAGTACATGTTGTAAAATTACTCATCCGGAACTCATTTCTTCAGCTTGTCCCTCTGATCAGATTTGTTCTTTTCAGAGCGATCCTCTGAAAGGAAATAGCCGTTGAGCAGACCACCGTTGTGATAGAGATCTGTTTTTTTTAAGTAATCATCCTCTCGTTCTCTATTTCTTTTTATTCAGTAGTTGTGCTGTGATCTTCACGGTGTTGTCAGAGGTTCCTGATTGTTGCAGCGTTTTTAATAGAGGTCAACTGTTCAGTTTTCCCTTATCATTTCCCGATGGTAGAACATGATGAATTCATTCATTTTTCCGTAGCTGTAGCATATTAACAAGCGGATATGATTCCAACCAACATAACGGATAAAATATGCAGACTGTTTTCTCACTACTATACTCTTACTCACTACAGATACAGTAGATTAGGTATGCTTTTTGAACAGTGGATGCGTAATTGAAAATGAGAGAGAAAGTCAAAGGAATGGGAATTGGATCACAGTGATGTTATGGTATCAATGCAGCTGAAAACTCTTCACTCAGTTTGGCTACTGTTCTCAATAAAAGTGGCAGCGGAAATGACAGTTTGAGTCACAATCGAGAGGATTTACAGCCATAGAGATAACATCGATGTTAGTGATATACATAATATGACTGTTTTATTGGTGATGTATTACATTTATATAATTTATAGCCCAGTGCTTCACAGAGCCTTTGCTGTGCACCACACCTTTGAGTTCAGCTGTGTTAAAAGGGTCTGAAGCGACGGCAGAAAGTTGGACAGATTGTCGGTGTGTCCTTCCTCGTTTTACAGATTATCTCCAGATTTCAGCTTTGATGCATGTGCGTTTCCTTTTTGTGCTGCAGGAGTTTCGACCGTGCTGTAGAGGAGTGGGGGCAGTTTCACTGTGACTTGAAAGACATCAGTCAGTGGCTGACTGACACAGAAAACCTGCTGTCTGAGAGCGTTAGCCCTGATGGACAGCTGGACCTGGAATCTGCACGACAATACCAAGAGGTCAGTGGAGGGTGGTGAATCGTTGGTCTGTGTTAAGTTTTTTGTTTTGTTTTTTCTCTCCTAATCTGTTTTGGTTTCTTTACCCCAGAGACAGAATAAATATATATATTTTTTTGTGACAAAAGGCCTGTCAGGTCTCTTTCTTTTATTGTTATGGAGACTAATTAGATTAATTTGGCAATATCACATCATCAGCGTGTGTTTACAAGTTTAAATCAAGATTATTAACTCCCAAGGATGCTGTAGTAATATGTTCACGCTATAGGCAGCTTGATGGTTCGACGTGTTAGACAGAAGATAATTGCATTTGGCTCCCCCAGGGGAAAATGGGTGCTATACTGTATCTAATAAATACACCACACATCTGACTGTTCATTATGCAGAGTGGAAATGGAGAGAAGTGAACTGAAGAGTAAGATTAGAAGGGGACTTAAATTTCGCTTTGTTTGATTGCTAAAGCGGTAATTTCATTTCCAAGGGGAATTAAATTCTCTGAAGCTGTTGCATTATCGCTGACGGCGCCGGTGCCATTAACACCTTTATCGGCGTGATTTGCAAAAGCTCGAGCCGCAGTCCAGTGCGTCTGTCTTTTTTATGTTTTCACAGACACTGAGAATGAGACGAGGGATCAAGTGGATGGGAATTGAGAGATCAATTAGCTGAGTCACCCTTTAGCGGACTTTACAATCACTCACTCTACTTTACGAGTCTGTCTTGGCAGGTTAAATCTCTCTCGGTGGAAACAGAGATTTGGCAGCTTAAGTCGTGACTCGCTACAAATCATGCCTATGTGTCAATAAGAGATTTGCCTGGAGAGATGGACCTGAGCTCGGGATTTGAGCACTAGTAGATCAGATTATGCTGTTTGACTGAAGCCTTCCCCCCCCCCCTTTCTTTTTCTCCTTTTGTCTCTCCCTTTGTTCGGCATGCATTTTAGGAGTTGGAAGAAGGCATTGCCAGTCATAAGCCCGTCCTGGTTGGACTCAGCCACACTGGAGAGCAGATAATTGGCAAGCTCTCCTCTCCTGATGGGCCCCTGCTTGAAGAGAAGCTGGAAACTCTGGGTCGGCGTTGGAGAGCGGTAAACCGCCAAGTCCTAGACAGACAGCGGAGGTAAAAATGACCTTGTACAAAAGAGGGGGGAAAGATTGAGGATTTGGCGTTTGACATTCTTGTGTGTTGACATATAACATCTTAGTTCTAGAATACAATGTAGCATAGAGGTTGGTGCTCATTCTCCGTTACCATCAGTCTGTTTCTTTATCAGTGTTTGTCAGGTTAACGTTATCAATGCGGTCAGTCAGCCTATAACAGCAATTTAAATGTAAATTTTTAGGATCAGGCCTGCAACCTGGAGGAAATGGAGATCCTAATCTAAGGTGTGTGTGTGTGCAGGTTGGCTGGAGGGGATCCGGCCCTGTCAGAGCTGGTGAGGAGGCGCGAGGAGCTCGCTGTGTGGCTCGAGCAGGCAGAAAACGCTGTTAGCTCCCTGCCTGTCACTGCCACTGACAGAAATCTCAAAGAACTGAAGGTAAAGCAAAACTCAAAACATGCTCGAGTTAGTCTGATTCATGGGAGCTCAGAGATTTCTATTCCTGCTCAGGAGCTGCTGGGGAAGTGCTATTTTTATGGTCAGCTCTGACTGTGTTGTGTTGTCCTTTGTTCTTCTTTCCCCTCTATGCTGTACTGTGAGCACAAGTTGCTCAGAGTGTCTCAGTTAGTCACAAGCAGAACCAGTCTCACCCAGCAAACGTAAACAGAAAGAGCACTGACACTTCCTGTTTTTAATATTCCTGTTTACATCCTCCAAGCCCTCAAACTCAGACTTGTACCTTATGGAAATACACTGCAGAGTAGAATCATTCACACTGCATATCTCTGTGCAACAGGAGTTTGCTTCTTTGTTTCCCATTCCTTTGACTTTATCTCTCATTTTCGATCACACGGTGAAATTAAGCCTCGGTGCATCTTTCCTTGCAGGCCCTTGCTGAGGAAATGGATTTACAGAACGAGCGTCTTGGCTGGCTTAACAAGCACGCTCCTCAGATCCTGTCCAGTCCCAGTGTTAGCCCGCAGAACAGAGAACAGCATGTTGCCAAACTCAGAGGCATAAACCTCAACTGGAGCAAGGTATGAAACAAACCGAGCGGGCGGCATGCACACCCAAGTTTGTGAATGCAGAACCTCAAATGAGGCGATGTAGGATTTTGAAATTAATACCATATGTCCATCTACTAAAAATCTTGAGCGGGTTTGAATCTCTGTGACCTCCACCTCATAGTCAACCTTTCTGAAAATCACCTAGAATTTTCAATTTTATACCATAGGTGCATCTACCAGGAGGCTGAGGGCTAGCAGTAGCTATAGCTGGCTTCTTAGCCTTGTAGTCAAAGTGGTTGGTGTGAAACGTTGAGTTCCCTTTCATCTGCTGCTTCATCCCTGATTCTACCACTCCTGCAGGTGACCAATGAGCTGTTGGACAAAGTGGGTGAAGTGGAGACCAACCTGCAAAGTCACGCCCAGTTTCAAGATAGGATGAACAGACTGACTGACTGGGCCGTCATCACGCACCAGACGGTCACGACCCGCGGCCTGAATCCTGGCCAGGCACTGGTAGGTGAACTAAACAGAACTCAGAAAACTAATACACTGGTGCTCACTGAAAATCCATCAATTCTATGCAGGCCTGTCCTCTTATATGATTTTTAAATACGCTGTAGGATCTGGAGGCTTCCATGAAGGACAGAAAGAAGGAGCTGGAGGACCTGTTAGCTCATTCAATAGAGCTGCAGAGACGACAGCAGCTGTTGCCTCAAGAAAAGGTTTCCATAGTAATATAATTTAATAACAAAGTACTAGTGATTGTGGCATATAATTACACATTATTGCACTGTTGAAGTGCTGCTGCCTCACTTTGGGCCAAAAAGATACAATTTCCTGTAATTTCTTAGTTTAATTAGCTCTTTATCTGGTTACACACCATTTCTAATGCTATTATTTTGTACTAAGTCTATATATATGTTTGTGTGTGTGTCTCCTTATGCGCTATCATGTGTATAGGCTAAGGTTGAGCAGCTGGCAGCTGACTGGAAAGCCTTGGATGGCCGGCTGAGGGAATCTCTTGAGCCACCTCTGTCTCCATGGACACATCACCAACATGTAGTCCAACACCAGCAGCTGGGTAAAAAAAAAAAAAAATCCAAGAAATGCAATTATTTCTCTTTTTATGTATCGCTGCCTCTGTTTTTATGGTGCATCAAGGGCATAAGGAAGAAGGCATCCAAAACTTGCCCCAGTGAAGTATTTAAAAATGAGATGCTTGTGGATCATTAGCAGGGCATGACAAAAATAAGTAATAAATTCTTAAATTTGCAATTCCCCTTTGTCCTGCCTTAATCTGGAGCATGAAATGCTTGATTAAAAATAGCAAGAGGTGAGCGGCAAAGGTTGTAGCAAACTAAAACCGTCCCCGATGGCTCGTTCGTCATGATTTGGTGTGGTGCTACTATCCTCTGAGAGCCTTTTGACAACACCACCTCCCTCCTTCTAACATCTTTAATGTTTGTTGCATCATTTCCTTTTAAAGGAGCTCTATATGTCAAACCTTGCTTGGATCAAGATTTTTTCCTTCTTTTTTTTTTTCTTTTCCTCCCCCCGCCCCTGCTTCAGTGTCTGCCGTCCCTTCAGCCGTGCAGATGGCCAGCTTGGTGAGTGAGGACCCACACCACCAAACCCCGCACACACCGGACACCGTGGCGCCCACTGATCTTAACGAGACTGCCACTGAGCTTGCAGACTGGCTAGTCCTCATCACCCAGATGCTCAAGTCTAATATTGTCACTGTGGGGGACACGCAGGAGATCAGGACCACTATGGGACGTCTTCAGGTGAGAAATTGGTTGATTTTTTTTTTTGATTTTTTTTTTTTATGTGTGTGATTCATTTGTTTTTGTTTTTTTTAAACTGAACTTTCACTAAACTTTCCTTGTATGTTTCTTCACTTGACAGGTGACAAAGAATGACCTGGAGCAGCGTCACCCTCAGCTAGAGGACATTTTCACACTGGCGCAGAACATCAAAAACAAAACCTCCAACCTTGATGTTCGCACATCCATTACTGAGAAATGTAAGAAAAAAGTTGTCAGGGAAAAAAATAAAAATAGTAGCAAATATGTGTGTTGTGCTTTAGCCTTTGTTTGTCCATATAACCACATCTGTCTCTGGCTTTAGTGGAGAAGGTGCGCAGCCAGTGGGACAGCACTCAGCATGGTGTCGAGGCACGGCTCCAGCAGCTGGATAATATGATTGGTCACAGCAACCAGTGGGAGGAGCAGAGGAAGGGGGTGATGGGCCTTATTGGGCACCACGAAGGATGTTTCCATAACCTTCTTCAGCGTCAGTCCAGAGATCCCCTGACTGAACAGCTTAAAGACAATAAGGTTAGCGAGAAAAAAAAAAACACTGCTAAACTTTCTCTCTGTGACCTCAGTACGCCTCATCTGTCCTCTTGAGGTCATTTACTGTGATTCTGTAGCAAGCTTGTCTACTCATATTCCTCACGGAGAGAAAAAAAAATGGATCAAAGCGAACTTTATAACATATTAGAGGTCCTTTATACAGTCGTGTAAGTTTATACAAGGAGAGCATGAATAAATCACCTCTCTGAAGTATCACTTTGAACTTTAATAACGTTCGTACACCCACATCATCCATCATTTTAATTTGAGATGATGTCTTGGCCAATGATTTCTGGCACCAAATCCTGCCTCTTCTGACAGATTACAGGGACCGAACACTAGAGGGCAACTGAGTTTAACAGAATCCAGGATGCTGTATACACAGCTGTTTGCTCCTGGTGTGTGGTCTTGTAATAATGAGTAATTATGTATTTAAAATAGTGAAGTACACTTTTTTTTGTTAAAAGAAAAGGAGCCCAGCAGTCTTATATGGATGACTTACTTCCAAATGCTGAATTTGGAGTCTTAATCACCAGGGTCTAATGTAACATGCTTGATTAAGCAGAGGTTAAACAAACAATGTCAAAGAGCCGAGCAGCAGAATAACAAATTTGTGTGTGTGTGTGTGTGCATGTTGTTGTTTTTTTGTTGTTAGTTTAATATTTCTTTTTTCAGCTTAGAGAATGAGTCATTAATATCCTCGCACGGCAGTTTTTCATATACCAGGCCACAACAGTATACAGCAAACGGCACAGGAAGATGAATAACTCCAATGATGATAAACAATGCCCTTCACAGTGACTTACAGTATTCACGCTGACTCACATCTGTCACATCCTCAGAGTCGCAGTCCAGTGTCACGAATATCAAAGCGCTGCATTGTTTTACAGGAGTTTCTCCAAGCTCTGGGCCGAGGCCAAGCTACAGTCGCAGCCTTCAACGAGTTGTCCAATCACCTTTTACGAGAGTATTCTACCGATGACACCAGGAGGATCAAAGAGGTCGCAGATAAACACAATGCTGCCTGGAACAGCCTCAACAATAGGTGCATACAAATTGGCCCGCTCACCCTTTCACTGTGCTTCAAGGCAGATACCCTTTAACAGTATTAAATGTTTCTGAAGTTATTGCTATATCTCATATATAGCTATGCGTTTGTCTCAATCATATTAATGGACAGGGCCAATGACCGTCACACGCAGCTGGACAGTGACCTGAAGGGCGTGCAAGTGTCTCTCAGGGAGCTCGAGTCCTTCCTCAAATGGCTCCAGGAGGCTGAGACTACGGTCAACGTTCTCGCCGATGCCTCCCAGAGGGAAGATGTGTCGCAGGACTCCGCCCACGCGAAGGAGCTGAGGCGACAACTGGAGGTAGGGGCTGTAAATTGATAGAGAAACCGCGAGTATGTGAGGAATATATGCACAGGTGCCAGCCTATTATCTCACTGTCATCCTTCATTAACGCATCCTTCAGCTACCGAGCAGGGGCTGGGGTGTGTGTATGCTGCTGGTTAAAGGTGTGTGTGAATCAGAGGGCGTGTGAATGCTTTTACACCTTGAACGTAGCTCAGTGATCTCCTTGTTCTGTCCCGCTTACGAAGTGTGTGTGTGTGTGTGTGTGTGTGTGTGTGTGTGCGTGTGTGTGTGTGTGTGTCCGCCCTCAGCTTGCTTGTCATTTACCCAGATGTTCCCTCCAGGATCAGTTGACGCACATCATCCTATACTCTATGTAATGATTTAATCCCAAAATCACCTCACCTCAGCCTTCCAGCAGATACAACAGGCGCTAATCTTCTTTCATGTATTTATTTATTTTTTACTTCTTGCTGAAGTTGAAAAGGTGTTTTTAAAAATGTCTTGTGGTCATCTCTTTTGGCTTCTACATTGAGCGACGTTTTAACAATCTCATTGCTTTTTCAGAGGAACTCCTTGTCCCTGAAAAAGCGCTGCAGTGTCATCCATCTTTCAGAATCGAAATCACCAGTCCAATAAAAATTCTGTGTTTTCTTGTCTTGAACGCTACATTGCCATCACTCCCGCTTCCATTTTCCGATCATTTAAAAAGAGGCCAAGGTTATAGAGAAAAATGACGCTGAATCACCGCATGAATGGCTGCAAAGATTTCTGATTCATCAACTTGATGCGAATCTGATGGTCACAGATTTTTGTAACCCGTTTGCTGAGCCTTTGCCGGATTTGGAAGTAATGAATGCTATTATCACATTTACCTGCCCATTACAGTCATCTATATTTGTTGTATTGAACATAATCCATCATTATATAAACCTTTTCAAACTTACGTCCTGCATATTATTACAATTTAGTCCTGCAAAGGTCGTGTGTTTTACTAGAACACCAGAAACTGTCTGTATAAACTCCTCTTATACGATGAGTTGGGATGCCAAAATTGGCACAAAGGTAGATCTTAGGGCTCTGAAGGTTATCAGCTATATTACGTTTTAGCACATTATCATGTTGCAACCTAGCAACCACCAACCAATGGGCTAAAATTAGCCATTTGTAGCATTTTGCACCAAGAACACTTTAGACAAGCATTGGACAAGTTTATTTTCACAAACCTTAACTTATACATGTATTGTAATGTCATCGTGTTGCCTAGCAACCACCTATCAACCTACTGTAGTGAGTTCAGTAAATGTGTTAAAATAGTAACTAAGGGTAGTTTCCACCTGACTCCATTATGTTTGTGCTTAAGAGCAAACATATTGGTGTAGCTTTCCTAATTTGTTATCACCCGCCGCCTGTCTTTATCTTCTTTTGTCATTTCATTACCAGTTGGAGTCGAAATTGATGGATGGTCCTCGCCCAGAAAGTGGGTTTACATAACACAGACAGGCTTTAAGCCTTTGATGTTGTGGCTTTACTGAGTGTTGTTCCCCACAAACCCTTTCATTAGGTCACAATGACTGCTCTGCCACTGTTCGGTGCTTAGTTACTTTAATGACAATTTGTAGCCGCAGGCGGTTGTCATTCTCACTGCTGTTTTCATATTAAGCCCGCAGTTGGTGACTGGTCAGACTCGGTGACAAATACAAATTGGTGCATTAACTGATATTTCATGAAAATGTGAGGCTTAATGGCATAAGACCGAAAAACAACTGATGCTGTTGCGTGTGATGCAGTAATGACCACAGGAATCAACATACTGGGAAACAAACTTGTTTGTTCTCTTGCCGAGTTGGATTAGAATTGATCGTGACTGTCTGATAAATTGGGGAATTATGTGATCAGTCTGGTTAGTCTCCTGCGGATTTTTGTGGGCTTCCAATGTAGCCAGGAAATCGGGGATAAAGAATAATGGATTTCCAGTTCAAAAATTCCTGTTCTCTTCATTGGTCATTGGTTACGAAAAGAAAAAAGCTAATTAAAGCTTAATCGTTGTCAGATGACAGCTATCGTTTCAGGTTTGCTCAGTAGAGCAAACTTTGTGCCAGAAATCTTGTCCCTTTGCTACAGATTCCCCATAATCACAAGCAGATATCTGATGTCTTTACTCGGCTCAGCCACTATAAAAAAAAAAAAAGTCCTTGTTTTATTTATTTATTTATTTATTTTTCTGGGGTTTTTTTTATGAATTTATAAAATTTCTTAAATAGTTTTTGCTTCACTGAGTGGAAGAAGTACCAGTTTTATTTCTTTTTGAATTAACAGACACTAAAACTTTGCAGAAAATAAGGTCGCCTGACTACATTTTGAAGCGTCGGTAATTAATTACAAAAATAAATTTTGATCCAGTTCAGTACGCTTTCATTATCTTGGCACTGGAAGGCAGGCTGTGCATGAGCCATTATAGAGATATATGTAACTTTGTATTATTTTATCTACATGCACTATATTTTCAATAGTTAATTTTCTGGACATTTAACTCTATAAATTGTGCCTTTTTATAACAAACTCCCTCTCATTAATTTGCACTGGTCCAGTAGAGACAAAAACTTCAAAGGGATAATTACCACCATGTTATGTAATTGCATATTGTCTTACTGGAGCATACAGGAAGTCACTTGTTTACATCACAAATGTGCACATTTGGTGGAATAATGTGCAGATTTATTCCATCATGAAGGTGCAAAGATGTACACAGCCTGATGATCTGCTTATATCTCGCTTGCCTTGTGCATGTTTAGCTGTGGGCTTTAGATTTATGTGGGTTTGTGCATGATTGTACTGTGGTGTAAGCAGATGAGTCGCACATGCTTTCTACAACCTCTTTCTTTGAAAAATGGTTCATAGTTTTATTAACCCAGAGCCAACAAAACACTCAATGTCTCTTGTAATTCCCCGTGAAGCAGAGTCAATACTCTGTGGAATGACTGAAATGGATGCTGTAGCCAGTTAAACCTTGTCTAAACACAGCTCTTCAGTGAGCTCATCATGCCATCTCTCAGTGTGTGTGTGTGTGTGTGTGTGTGTGTGTGTGTGTGTGTGTGTGTGTGTGTGTGTGTGTGTGTGTGTGTGTGTGCGTGCCTGTTGGTGAATGATGATTACTCTAGTTGGCTGCATCTTTTTCTTCCTTTCCACTGTCAAGTTACTGTCATTTAAATCAGGGACCAAAAAACAAAACAGTTTTTGTTTTGTGCGTCAATTTGTGTCACATCTTT